GAACTCTTCACCATCTGAGACACAAGGGAAGCTCAAGAATACTACAGTGGTAGCCTACCCCTCCTCCAGTGGATTTTCCTGACCCAGGAATCGAACCAGGGTCTCCTGCAATGCAGGCGGATTCTTTATCAGCTGAGCTACCAGGGAAGCCCCCAAATCAAAACACTTGCTTCACTTTAAACATCTACTTTCAGACAGATAGGCTACGCTATGCTGCCATCTAGAGAGCAGAATTAATACTACATATTCTCTCTCAGTTTATGCTGTTGAAAGTTGGATGTGGTCAAACAGGAGATAGAAAGAGTGAACATGGACATTTTAGGAATCAGTGAACTAAAATGGGCGGGAAGAGGTAGATTTAATTCAGATGACCATTGTATCTACTACTGTGGACAAAAATCCCTTACAAGGAATGGTGCAGCCCTCAGAGTCAACGAAAGAATCCAAAACGCAGTACTTGGCTGTAATCTCAAAGATGACAGAACGATCTCCGTTCGTCTCGAAGGCAGACCATTCAATATCACAGTAATCCAAGTCTACACCCCAACCACTAATGCCAAAGAAGATGAAGTTGAACAAGTCTGTAAGATCTACAAGACCTCCTAGAACTAACAGCAAAACGGATATCCTTCTGATCGTATGAGACTGGAATGCAAAAGTAGGAAGTCAAGAGAATACCTGGAGTAACAGACAAGTTTGTCCTTGGAGTCTAAAATAAAGCAGGTCAAAGGCTGACTGAGCTTTGCCAATAGAATGCATCGGTCATAGAAAACATCCTCTTGCAACAAAACAACAGAGGACTGCTGTGGACATCACCAGATAGTACTGAATTCAGACCGATTATATATATTCTTTGCAGCCGAACATGGAGAAGATCTATACAGTCAGCAAAAATAAGAGCTTACTGTGGCTCAAATCACCAGTTCCTTATTGTAAAATTCAGGCCCAAAATGAAGAAAGTAGAGAAAAACATTAGGCCACTCAGGTATGCCCTAAATCAAATTCCTTATGATTATACAGGAGAGGTGACAAATAGATTCAAGGGACTAGATATGGTAGATGGAGTGTCTGAAGAACTATGGAATGGTAGACGGAGTGTCTGAAGAACTATGGACGGAGGTTCGTAATATTGTATAGGAGGTGGTGACCAAATCCATTGAAAAGAAAAAAGAAATGCAAGAAGGCAAAGTGGTTGAGGAAGCATTATAAATACCTGAGAAATGGAGAGAAGCAAAAGGCAAAGGAGAAAGGGAAAGATAGACCCAAATGAATGCAGAGTCCCAGATTAAAACAAGGAGAGACAGGAAAACCTTAAGTGAACAATGCAAAGAAGTAGAGAAAAACAACAGAATGGAAAAGATTAGAAATCTCTTTTAGAAAATTAGAGATACCAAGGCAACATTTCATGCAAAGATGGGTACAATAAAGGAAAGAAACGGTATGGACCTAACAGAAAAAGAGATTAAGAAGAGGTGGCAAGAATACACAGAAGAACTGTACAAAAAAGCTCGTAATGACCCAGATAACCACAATAATGTGATCACTCACCTAGAGCCAGACATCCTGGAGTTCAAAGTCAAGTGGGCCTTAGGAAGCATTGCTATGAAAAAGTTACTGGAGGTGATGGAATTCCAGCTGAGCTATTTCAAATCCTAAAAAATGGTGTTGTTAAACTGCTGCACTCAATATGCCAACAAATTTGGAAAACCCAGAGCAGAGGCCACAAGACTGGGAAAGATAAGTTTTCATTTCAACTCCAAAGAAAAGCAATGCCAAAGAATGCTCAAATTACCGCACAATTGCACTCATTTCATATGCTACCAAGATTATGCTCAGAATCTTTCAAGCCAGGCTTCAGCAATACATGAACCAAGAACATCCAGATGTACAAGCTGGATTTAGAAAAGGCAGAGGAACCAGAGATCAAATTGCCAACATACACTAGATCGTTGAATAAGCAAAGGGAATTTTTAAAAAATCTACTTCTGCTTCACTGACTATGCCAAAGCCTTTGGCTGCATGGATCACAACAAACTGGAATATTCTTGAAGAGATGGGAATACCACACGATCTTATCTGCCTCCTAAGAAACCTGTATGCAGGACAAGAAGCAACAGTTAGAACCGGACATGGAACTGGTTCAAAACTGGGAAATGACTACATCAAGGCTGTAAAGTGTCACCCTGCTTATTTAACTTATATGCAGAGTACACCATAGAAATGCTGGGCTGGATGACTTACAAGATGGAATCAAGACTGCCAGGAGAAATATCAACAACCTCAGATATGCAGATGATATTACTCCAGTGGCAGAAAGCGAAGAGGAACTAAAGAACCTCTTGATGAAGGTCAAAGATGAGAGTGAAAAAGCTGGCTTAAAATTCAACATTCAAAAAACAAAGATTATGGCATCTGGTCCCATCAGTTCATGGCAAACAGATGGGGAAAAAGTGTCAAATTTCATTCTCTTGGGCTCTAAAATCACTGCCAATGGTAACCACAGCCACAAAATTAAAAGACGCTTGCTTATTGGGAAAAAACCTATGAAAACTCTAGACAGTGTATTAAAAAACAGAGACATCACTTTGCAGACAAAGGTCCATATAGTAAAAGCTATGGTTTTTCCAGTTGTCATGTATGGATGTGAGCGTTGGACCATGAAGAAAGCTGAGCACTGAAGAAGTGATGCTTTTGAACTGTGGTGTTGGAGAAGAGTCTCAAGAGTCCCTTAGACTGCAAGGAGATCCAACCAGTCCATCCTGAAGGAGATCAGTCCTGCATATTCATTGGAAGGACCAATGCTGAAGCTCCAAAACTTTGGCCACCTGATGCAAAGAAACAACTCATTGAAAAAGACCTTGATGCTGGGAGCAAGAGGAGAAGTGGGCAAAAGAGGATGAGATGGTTGAACGGCATCACTGACTCAAAGGACATGAGTTTGAGCAAACTGAAGGAGGCAGTGAAGGACAGGGAAGCCTGGCGTGCTGCAGTTCATGGGGTTGCAGAGTCGGACACAACATGGTGACTGATGGACAACAAGTCATTAGACAATATTTCAAGTTAGAAGTAAATAACAGTATAAACATATTATTTAGCAATGCGGGAAAAACCACCAGAAGAATCTAAAGTAAAACCAGTTAAGTCACTTGCCATAAAAGAAAGGCACTGGAACCAGAGAAAGGAAAAGTACATCTGGTTTTTACTGTATCTTTCTTACTATTTGAAAATGTGGTACTAGTGGTAAGTTTAAGACTATGAAAATTTTTTTTCAAAAGGATTAATTATGCTTAAGGAATCAGTTGTTTATTTAAACTCAGAAGGACTTAAAGAACAAGTCCATTTTTATGGTTTTCAACAGGAAGAACTCAATCTGACAATTAACATAACAGCAAAACTCCAAGTAAAAGAGACAGAGGCAAAACAAAAATTGCTCGGCTGTATCTGTCTTAAACGAGCACCTATCACTACAATACACAGAAGGAGTTGACTACTACCTTGCTTACATACAGGAAGCTTATTCAGAGAAATGGCATTATAGAAGAGCTGTAATACTTTGCAAATTTTCACTTAATTAACAAACATTAATAAGAAAACCAACTGTATACAAGGCACTCTTGATGAGGATTCTCACAAAAATACAACATTCTATTTCCTACAAAAAATCAAAATCAGGGCTTCCCTAGTCCAAGGGTAAAGAATCCGCCTTCCAATGCAAGGGACACCAGTTCAATCTTTGGTCAGGGAAGGAAGATCCCATGTGCCTTGGACATCTGAGCCCATGTGCCGCACTACTGGGCCTGCTCTCTGGAATCTGCAACTACTGAGCCCACTACTAGACCTCGTGCTCCAAGACAAGAGAAGTCACAGTAATAAGAAGCCCTCACGTGGCAACCTAGATAGTGGCCCCACTTGCCACAACCAGAAGCCCACGCATAGCAACGAGGATGCAGCACAGTCAAAAAATAAATTTTTTTAAATCATGGTCATCTAAGTAACTTTAGGCTGATGAAATTACAGCACCACAAGACTGAGTATCCACAGATAGATAACACATAAAAGAAAAACCTGGAGTTACTGCACAAATTACAAATCATAATCAAGACAGGGCTCTCCAGGAGCAAGATCTGTAAATGCATTTCTTTTACAAAATTATTCGTTCAATAGAATCTCCTTTATTTAATGTCATAAAAAGAGTCAATAAGATTACCAAACTGAGACAGCAACAGTTTCACTGTTCAGAGTCTAAACCTCTATTGCACTCTGAATCTTTCTACACTGTTAAAATATTTTGCTGGAGTTTGAATTACTTTTGAAATTTTATAATTAAAATGTTCAATTTTTTTTGTCTTTCAATAAAACTTCAAAGTTAATATAAATTTAGAGTAAAAGATATTTGCTTAAATGGGAGTATCTACTTGTCTAGAAATTTCTCAAAACTAAACTCTTTAACTTCTATTTTACTTGAAAATATTGATGAAATATTTGAAACTAAAATCCAAAATATAAGTATTACGCATTTAGAAGACAGCATAGAGCTTATTAGCATCCAACTCTACAACTGCCAGAAAGAAAACCATTAATCTCCTTTCTTATCCAACTGGATAACCAAAAATTCATAAGTTATTTAAGAAAATAGTCTCCACAAAAAGTTAGTATTTTTTTCCCCCATCATGGATCAAGCTTTCATACCAAGATATGAAGTAGTATTTGTAAAACAGAAATAAACTCCGGTTTGGTACAGCTGAAGTGTGAGAACAAGAAATTACTAACTGTTATACTACGACTATGAGTACAATTAACCTAAAATCTTTCAAATTACATATTTCAAATTGTATTGCAAGAAATACATCAGACATATAAAGTTGTTAGCTCTAACAGATAATGCTAAAAAAGCAGTATTATACGATTTAAGATATAATTGTATTATAAACAGTATGAATTCTATCATCCTAAATTTGTAACATGTCTGCAAATTAAAGAAAGTAGAAAGGAAGGCTCACCTTCATCCACAGAAAACTGACAGCTCTTATCATTGAAGAAAAGAATTTTCTTCTTATCAGGACGGTTTACAAATAATATCTGGTCCCCTAAAGCCTTAAAGATAAAGAAAAAGTTTTCAGTTAACTCCAAATTACATCACTCAAGATTTTTTTTTAAACAACAGAGGATTTCCAGTTTCTTTAACTCTCAGTATACCTTTAGGGTCCAAGAGACCAAATTTTAATTCTAAAGTTTCTTTCTTGAGCAGTTTGACTTTTAAGGATTAATGTTTTGAAATTTTTAGAGATCCTTCACAGTACAAAAACAAGAAAAACTTTTAAATATTAGAACAAAATTCAATCTATGTGACAAATTACAACTTGGTCTAGTGAACTCATTAATCTGTGGGGAAAAAACCATGGATCTCAATGTTCTTACTTGTCCTTGAAATATTTTGTTACTTACTCATCATTATCCATCAATTATTTCCAGTCATGCTTTGAAAAGCTAGAACAGTAAGATAATGGGAGAATGATTAAATCATATAAACTGTGTGTGACTATGAGATAAATAGCCATCCTTCAGTTTTCTTACTGCACTGCCCAAAATACTGCATCAGCTTTACAGAAAAAAATAAAGGACTTGAGTAGTTTTTGTCGTCTTTTAGCTTTGACTGAACACAACTGACAATCAAATTTTTCTCTCACTACTCTAGCAAGGACAAGAAAATTGACATATTTCATTATTATTAATTAATGAGAAGAAGAATGCAAAAAATCTGATAATACTCTGGACTATGATGATGATGGTAAAATTCATCACAGAAATAAAGTCTCAAATTCTGAGCCTTTAGATGACATCACAGATGAATAATCTCAACCTTAGGCATCAACAAGGGCTTCCCTGGTGGCGCTGACAGTAAAAAAAAAAACCTGCCTGCAATGTGGGAGACACGGGTCTGATCCCCGGGCCTAATCCCCAGGTCAGGAAGATCCCTTGGGTCTGATCCCTGGGTCAGGAAGATTCCCTGGGTCTGATCCCCGGGCCTGATCCCAGGGTCAGGAAGATCCCCTGGAGAAGGGAATGGCTACCCACTCCAGTATTCTTGCCTGGAAAATTCCATGGACAGAGGAGCCTGGCGGGCTACAGTCCATGGGGTTGCAAAGAGTCAGACATGACTGAGCGCATAACACTTTAGGCATCAATGTGTGAACCACACATTTAACAGATATGTAAAGAACATTTCATCCAAAGGCAACAGAAAGAATCTATACTATTCTCAAGTGCCCACTCGACGTTCTCCAGAATAGTTAATATGATAAGGCACAAAACAAGCCTTAACAAATCACATTAAGCACCTTTTCTGACCACAATGGTATATAAAACCAAAACTCAATTCCAAGAAGAAAGCTGGAGGATTCACAAATAACAACAGAATAAGTCCACTATATATGAACAAGTTCTGTTCTGAGAGCACATTCCTAAATCCAATTTGTTAAGTCCAACAAAGCTAGCTAGCCTAGATACCCAACTAACACAACAGGTAATACAATATTGTACTGTAACAGATTTATAATACCTTTCATACAAATAATACATAGAAAACAAAAACCAAAACATTTTTAACCTTACAGTACAGTTTCATGAAAAGCACAGTAGTAGCGTACAAAAGCTGGCATACCAGGGCTGGCATCAAGGGAACAAGCAAGAAGAGCTACTGGCTGGAGGAGGGAGAGGAGGCAGGAGATAGCAGAGCTGAAGATCGTCAGTAACGGAAGATGGAGGAAAAGCTACAATTTCACCCGTGTCTTATGTGACTGAACATAGAAACACACATCTGCCTTTCTGAAAGTTTACTACTTGAAAGTTGGTATGTAGGGGACTTACTGTATGCTGCTAATTGCTGGGTCAAAGAAGAAATTTTTAAAACACCTTGAAAAACAAAAATGGAAATACAATGTGCCGAAACTTATGAGAGGTTAAAAAAATAGCAATTCTAAGAGGAAATTCAGTTATAAATGCCTACCTTAAAAAGCCAGAAAAATCTAAAAAAAACCTAAACTTACACCTCAAGAAACTAGAAAAAGAACAAATGAAGCCCAAAGTTAGTAGAAGGGAGAAACTAACAAAGATTAGAGTGGAAATAAATTTGAGAGACTAAAAAAGAAAATAGAAAAGATTAATGAAACTATAAGCTGATTCTTTGAAAAAATAAACAAAACTGACAAAACTTTAGCTTAACTAACCAAGAAAAAAAAGCAAGAAGACTCAAATATATTAAATCAGATATGAGATTCATGTTGACATATGGCAGAAACCATCACAATACTGTAAAGCAATTATCCTCCAATTAAAAATAGATTTTTTAAAATTGGAAATGAAATAGGTGTCACAACTAATATTACAGAATACAAAAAATCATAAGAGACTAGTATGATACATATGCCAAAATTGGAAAACCTAGAGGAAATGAATAAATTTCTACAAATGTATAAACTATCGAGACTGAACCATAAAGAAATAGGAATTCTGAACAGATCAATAATTAATAGAATAAGTAATCAAAAATCTCCCCTCAAAAGTCCAGAACAACTGCACTAGTGAATTCTACCAAACATTTAAAGAAGAGTATCAATCCTTGTCAAACTCTCCCAAAAACCTGAAGCAATGCATCAAATTCATTCTGTGAGGCCAGCACTACCCTGATACCAAAATGAGACAAATATGCAACAAGAAAAGAAAACTGCAGGCCAACATTCCTGATGAACACAGATGCAAAAATCAACAAAATACTAACAAACCAGATTCAACAATACATTACAATAATCACACACCATAATCAAGTGGATTTACTACAGGTATTCAAGGATGGCTCAGTATCTGCAAACCAATCATGATACAGCACATTAACAAAATGAAAGATAAAAGTCACGTGCTCATCTCAGTAGATGCAGAAACAGCATCTGGCAAAATTCAAAATACACTGACCATAATGCTCCACAATATGGATGCCAAGGTAACATATCTCAACATAATGAAGGCCATATATGACAAGCCCACAGTTTACATCAAAATCAACAGTTGAAAGCTGAAAGCACTGCCTCTAAATCAGGAGCTAGACAAGGATACCTACTCTTGCCACTTTTATTCAGAGTACTGTGAAGTCCTAACCAGAGCAGTCAGACAAGGAAAAGAAATAAAAGGCATACAAATTGGAAAGAAGTAAAATATCACTTTTTACAGACTATATTTTTATATACCTCCCTAAAGACTTCACCAAAAAGCTATTAAAATAATGAAATCAGTAAAGCTGCACAATACAAAACCAATATACAAAAAATTTGAGTTTCTATAAATTAACAACTATCAGAAAGAAATTAACAATCTCACTTACAACTACATCAAAAAGAATAAGGTACTTAGAAATAAATTTCACCAAGATGAATAATCTCTACACTGAAAATTATAAGACAATGATGAAAGAAACTGAAGAAGACTCAAAAAATGGAGATATTCTGTGCTCATGAATTGGAAGACCTAATACTGGTAAAATATCTATTACCACTCAAAAGAATATAAAGAGTCAATGCAATCCTTTTCAAAATTTCAATGGGATTTTTCACAGAACTAGAACAGTGCTAAAATTTATTTGGAATCACGAAAGATCCTATCAAGCCAAAGCAATCTTGAGAAAGAACAACAAATCTGGAGGCATTGCACTCCCAATATCACAAAGGAAAATTACTGAAACAGTATGGCACTGACATAAAAAGAAACATGCAGAACAGAGAATCCAGAAATAAACCTGTGCCTCTCTGGTGAATTAGTTTGCGACAAAAGTGCTAAGACTATACAAAAAGGAAAGGACAGTCTCTTCAATAAATGGTTCTGTGAAAACGGGACAGCCACATTCACAAGAGAGAAACTGGACCACTATCTTATACCATAAGTAAAAATTATCTTAAAATGGATTAAAGACCTGAATCTAAGACTTGAAACCATAAGAATCATGGAAGAAAACACAGGCAGTAAGCTCTGTGACATTCATTTTGGCAATTTCTCAGATTCAACATTAAAAGCAAAGGCAACAAAAGCAAAAATAAACAACTGAGACATCATACTCAGAAGTTTCTGCACAGCAAAAGAAACATCAACAAAATGAAAAGGTAACCTAATCAATGGGAGAAAATATTTGCAGTTCATACATCTGATAAGGTGTTAATACCCAAACATAAACTCATGGAACTCAACAGCAAAAAAAAAAAAAACCCACTCAATTAGAAAATGGGCAGAGGATCTGAACAGACATTTTTCCAAAGAAGACACACAGGTGGTCACGAGGTACATGCAAAAGATGCTTAACATTACTAATCATCAGAAAAACACTTATGCCATTGAGGAAATCTTTCCAGACACATTTTGAAGAACAATTATACACAACATGAGAAAGATGTCAAAGCTACACAAAAATGACTATGCCCTATCCTGTTCTGTAGCACAAAACACAAATTTCAAACCTTCAACTGATGGAGAAGATTTTAAAATAATTTTTTTTTAATCTTGATTTTTTTTTTTAAGCCAAAAGACATTATCAATTCAAGTTATATTAAGGTATAGAAACAAAAGAGAGGTTACCTTGACAGCTTTCTGGGAATTGGGCAGTCCTTCCTCGATGTCTTCTAAAAGAATTCCTCCTAAGCCGCGCTGGTCATGTTGATCTAAGAGCCTAAGTAGAGCCTTCTTATCTTTCAAGTTGTACTTGGGCTTAAAGGCATACTTTCCATCTACTACTTCAATTTTGGGATTATTGACTAGTGCCTGTAAGAGTGACACAATTTCAATATATTAACAAAAGGAAATATCATATATACATTATTTAATTCTACTAATATTAAAAAGACAACACCTAATACAGAGGCAAATTAAAAGTACCTTGTGGATATCAACAGATCGAAACAACAGGCTATCTATCAACAGGATACAAAACAACACGCAGAGATGAGCATGGTGCTCACTTTTTATTTAAAAAAAAAAAAAGAACTGTTTATTACTTACATAGAATCTCTGGATAAGAAAGAAACCAGTTTATTAGAACTGCTTTGAAGAAAATGTACCCATATTCTTCCAGAAGACAAAAGAGGTGAGAATCAAAAACACACCTATTAACATCAATAGCCACTGCCTACCCACTCTCAAAGTATCACATATCGGGATTATAATGTGAGAAACATTCCCCTGGGATGAACATATCAAAAAGCAGCCTGTCCACATGGTATTAAATGGCACTAGCAGCTGTTAGAAGGACTTGAAAAGGACCAGAGTAGTACAGATACAAAATTACCTATATGTCAGTTGAGACTGAAACTGAGAAGGAATACAGAAATTTCTGAATATAATTATGTTCCCAGTCAGTCCTGTTGTATTGCTAATACCAGAAGGAAAGCTCTTCAAGAAAGAGCAACCATTTTATTTTCTTCTACAGCTGCCAGCCTGACCATGAAAGGATAAAAAAAAACAGAAAGAAGAAATGAGGACAGAACAGTAATTAAAATAACCTTTACCTAACGTCAGTAGTCCATGAAATTTCAAAATTAGGAAAAGCATCAAAAATGTGGATTACCACCATTTGTATATCACTAACATAAAAGGGGTTAAAAAAAGGGGGGGTTAGATGTTGCATTTCAGAAAACTAACTGAAGGTCGGTCTACTGATGCAGCACAAGAGATGTAAGAGAAGAAAAAAAAAAGGAAAGATGCTCTTTAGGTTTTGTTTTTTGGGTTTTTTTTTTTTTTCCTTTTTCCTTTTTTTAATTTTAGGGAAAACACTGACGAATGGTCAGAGCTCCCATCCTGATCTTTTCATCAAGGCGCCTTTCCTAATAATATGGTTCAACTGTGAATGTAGAAGTGGGGGGGGGTGGGGGGGGGGACTCTGGAGTTAGAGGATATAGAAAAAATAAAAATACATTGTTACAAATAAAGAATGCAGACTTCAAAAGAAAGCCACAACCCAAACAAACCAAAAATTAAATGCTCAGAATTGGCAACACAAAAGAAAAGTTCTCTCCTGACATGTATTGTGGCAGTCTGAACGCCCCCAGAAAATTGTGCCAAAGAGTTTAGAAAACATATACTAAAAACAAAATGCATACAAACAGCAAACTTCAGCTAACTATTTTGGATTGCAAACAAGGATAAATTTAATGTTTATAAACAATCTGATAAAATAACCATTTGGAAACTGAAAAAAAAAATGTGGATTACCACCATTTGTATATCACTAACATAATGAGCTACAATGATACTGCCTAACTAGTTCATCTTACATTATGAAAATCAAGACTATCTTGCTTGGTAAAATAAAGTGAATTCTATTTTAGGAAGTTTACATTTCACCTTTAAAATCAGCACTGGTCTTAGAAAGTTGCTTTACTGAATTGTCATTTCATACTTAGCTAGAAAGAGACAAATATCTCAATTTTTATTTTAAAGTGCTACTCATTTCCAAATTAACACAGTCACTGATTGTTTTTTGAGATTCGTTTTCTTCCAATATTGTGTGTATATATACAAAATATTCGTGGTTATTTTTCTAAGTGACTTGCCAGAGGCAGTAACATCACTATCAACTCAAAATAGCAGTAGCAGTACAACAAATACATTTCTTAACAAAATATCTTGCTTTCCCTATACTACTTCATGTTTTAAATGTCCCAAAACACAGAAACAATACAATCTGTCAATACATACATTACAAATTTAGCAATTCAAAATAAGCATCAATTATTCTGTAAAAACTTAAAATTTAGTAGTGAGTGACTTCTTTACAACTTTAATGCTACTGTCTGACATTTTAAAATAGATACACAGAATATATGAAAACAAATCAATCCCAAAATGTGTATGTTAAAAAAAAAACCCTATACCAATTCTTGTAAGAAAAAACTTATCAGATTTCAGTATACGAAAAGCCCACTTACAGTAAAAAATGTTTTACAATAATTTAAGACTATTCTTACCTCACTCATTAGCCATTGCTTCTGTTTGAGTCCAATATCTAAATGTTGCGTTTCATCCAAAATTTCTTCTAAAGTAAGAGGATGTGTATCTCCTCGCTGATGCCGTGTCTATTGAAGAAAGAAATTGCTATTTGAAGACAGTTTTAAAATGCTAGATGCATTAAATAATAGGGTAAATGAATCTTTTCAGGAATGTAGAATGTAGACTGGTACAGTTATAGTGATGAAGAGAATGGACTATAAAATCAGAACTGAGTTCAAACTTGAAGGTACACAAAATCAAACAATAAAATGAGAAAAATATTTACAATTCTTATCACAAAAAATTAACCTTCCTAATACTTCAACAGTTCCAAAAAGCTAACAAGAAAAGGACCCAAAAATAGGAACATACAAATCACAAAAAAAAAAGAAATGCTAATGACCATCAACAGAGGAAAAGATACTCAACTTCCACAACAGAAATGCACTGAAATCCTTGATCCAGCAAATCCACTTCCGAGCATTTACCCTAAAAGAACTACAACATAGAAAAGCAACAAGGTTACCTGCAACATCCTTTATAAAAGGAAAATATTAGAAACAACTCAAGTGGCCATCAAATGACCTGAGTTTGAGCAAATCCCAAAAGATAGTGAAGGAGAGGGAAGCCTGGCGTGCTGCAGTCCATGGGGTCACAAAGAGTTGGACACGACTGAGTGACTGAACAACAAGGGCCCATCAAAAGAGGACTGATTCAATTACAGCATATCGATGCTTCTATACAGATGTTAAAAAGAGAAAATGCAGATGTTCGCAATGTAATTTGCAAAGATGTCCAATACAAACTATTATGAAAAATGTGTTGACACCAAATGCTGGTGAGGATGTGGAGGAACAGGACTCTCATTCTTTGCTGATGGAAATGCAGATGGTATGTGCAGAGTACATCATGAACTATATAAAGAAGCTCTTAATGACACAGAAAACCACAGTGGTGTGGTCACTCACCTAGAGCCAGACATCCTGGAATGCGAAGTCAAGTGGGCCTTAGGAAGTATTTTGACAAAGCTAGTGGAGGTGATGGAATTTCAGCTGAGCTATTTCAAATCCTAAAAGATGATGCTATGAAAGCGCTGCACTCAATATGCCAGCAAGTTTGGAAAACTCAGCAGTGGCCACAGGACTGGAAAAGGTCAGTTTTCACTCTAATCCCAAAGAACAGCAATGCCAAAGAATACTCAAACTACAGCACAATTGTGCTCATTTCACATGCTAGCAAGGTAATGCTCAAAATCTTTCATGCTAGGCTTCAACAGTACATGTACCAAGAACTCCCAGATGTACAAGCTGGATTTAGAAAACACAGAGAAACCAGAGATCAAACTGCCAACAACTGTTAGATTACAGAAAAAGCAAGGGAATTCCAAAAAACATCTGCTTCATCAACTACACTAAAGCCTTTGACTGTGTGAATCAGGACAAACTGTGGAAGTTTCTAAGAGAGATGGGAATACCAGACCACCTTACCTGAGAAATCTGTAGGCAGGTCAAGAAGCAACAGTCAGAACCAGATATGGGACAACAAACTGGTTCAAAATTGGGAAAGGAGGACTTCCGGTTCAAGATGGCAGAGCAGAAGGACATGCACTCATCTGCTGCGAGAACACCAAAATCAAAACTAGCTGTTGAACAACCATCAACAGGATTCTGGAAACTACCAAAAAAAGATACTTCATGTCCAAAGACAAAGAAACCACAGTGAGATGGTAGGAGGGGCACAATCAGGATAAAATCAAATCCCACACCCACCAGGTGGGTGACCCACAAACTGGAGAACAATAATAGAAAAGTAGTTCTCCCACTGTTGTGAAGGTTTGAAACTCCATTCAAGATTCCCAGCCTGGGACCCGACAAAGCAACTGGGAATCCCCAGGAAATCTGACCTTCAAAGTCAGCAGGATTTGATTCTAAGACTTCCACAGGACTAGGGGAAACAGAGACTCCAGACTTGAAGGACACAAACAAAACTGCATACACCAAGACTCAGAGGAAAGAAACAGTGACTCCACAAGAAACTAAACCAAACCTACCTGCGAGTGTCAGAGAGTCTCCTGTGGAGGCCTGAGTGAGCAGCGGCTCACCACAGGGACAGGGGAACTGGCAGCAGCTGTCTGGGAAGGTCCCCGTTGGGGTAAACCCTCTTGGAGGTCGCCCTTAACTGGACCACAGAGCTCACAGACCCCAGGCTGGGTCACCTCAGGCCAAACAACTACTAGGGAGGGAGCACAACCCTACCCATCAGCAGATAATAAGTTTTGCTCAGCACTGCAGATGGTGACTGCAGCCATAAAATAAAAAGACACTTCTTTGAAGAAAAGTTATGACCAACTTAAACAGCATATTAAAAAGCAGAGACATTACTTTGGCAACAAAGGTCCATCTAGTCAAGGCTATGGTTTTTCCAGTAGTCATGTATGGATGTGAGAGTTGGACTATCAAGAAAGCTGAGGGCCGAAGAATTGATGCTTCTGAACTGTGGTGTTGGAGAAGACTCTTGAGAGCCCCCTGGACTGCAAGGAGATCAAACCAGTCAATCCTGAAGGAAATCAGTCCTGAATATTCATTGGAAGGACTGATGCTGAAGCTGAAACTCCAATACTTTGGCCACCTGATGTGAAGAACTGACTCATCTGAAAAGACCCTGATGCTGGGAAAGATCGAAGGCGGGAGGAGAAGGGGATGACAGAGGATGAGATGGTTGGATGGCATCACCAACTCGATGGGCAAGAGTTTGAGTAGGATCCGGGAGTTGGTGATGGACAGGGAGGCCTGGCATGCTGCAGTCCATGGGGTCGCAAAGAGTCGGACACAACTGAGTGACTGAACTGACTGACTGACTTTAGTCAGCAAGGCCCTGCCCACGACAGCAAGACCCATTTTTTTTCCCCACCACCAGTCCCTCACATCAGGAAGCTTACACTAGCCTCTTAGCCTCCTTCATCAGAGGCCAGACAAAAGAAGCAAGTAGAACCATAATCCCACTGCAAGTAAAACAAAACCACATTACAGAAAGTTAACAATCATGAAGAAGCAAAGGTAACTCCTAGATGAAAGGACAAGAAAAAAACCCAGAAAAACTACTAAATGAAGTTGAGATAGGCAATCTTCCAGAAAAAGAATTCAGAATAATCACAGTGAAGATGATTCAGGATCTCTGAAAAAGAATGGAGGCAAAGATTGAGAAGAAGGAAGAAACGTTTACCAAAGACCTGCAAGAACTAAAGAACAGAGATGAATAATACACTAGACGGAATCTACAGCAGAACAACTGAGGCAGAAGCACAGATAAATGACCTGGAGGGCAGAATGGTGGAAATCACTGCCACAGAATATAGAAAAAAAGAATGAAAAGAAATGAAGACAGCCTAAGACACCTTTGGGACAACATTAAACAAACGAACATTCACATTATAGGGTTCCCAGCAGAAGAGAGACAGAAACGACCTGAGAAAATATATGAAGAAGTAATAGCTGAAAACTTCCCTAACATGGGAAAGGAAATAATCAACAAGTCCAGGAAGCACAGAGTCGCAGGAAGAATAAACTCAAGGAGGAACACACGGAGACACATAATGATCAAGCTGACAAAAATTAAAGATAGAGATAAAATATTAAAAGCAATAAGGGAAAAACGACAAATAACATACAAGGGAACTCCCATCATGCTATCAGCTGATTTCTCAACAGAAACTCTACAAGTCAGAAGGGAATGGCAAGATATATTTGAAGTGATGAAAGTAAAGAACCTACAGCCAAGAATACTCTACCCAGCAAGACTCTCTTTCAGATTTGATGGAGAAATCAAAAGCTTTTCAGACAAGCAAAAGTTAAGACAATTCAGCACCACCAAACCAGCTTTACAACAAATGCTAAAAGGACTTCTCTAGACAGAAAACAAGAGGAGAAATTTTACATAAAGAAAATAAACCCCAAACAGTTAAGAAAATGGTAATCGGATCATACATATCAATAATTATTTTAAATGTAAATGGATTAAATGCACCAACCAAAAGACACAGACCGGCTGAGCAGATAAAAACATGTGCATGTATGCACTTCCACTTACCACATCACTCTGTTTGATCCCCCAAACTGTATGTAATTATTTCATATTGTTAGGTTAATCATGTTCCCAGTATGGCTTGCAACTGTAATTATCTTTATTTTTTGTCTGGCTATTGATTTTCTGAAACAATACAAATGCCCAGGGATTGCTTTTTTTTGCCAGAACTCCAGGTATGTTTCTAAGGAGCAGCCATGTTTAAAAACAATTGAACTATATGAGGATCTTTTACTTTTATCTAGGTTGTTTCACTTTTTCTATCACATATTCAGTGCTCACATTTAATTTAGTTTGTTTTCCAATTTCTTCATCGCTTCTTTTTTTTTCTTTTGATGTTCTTTATCAGGCACAGTAGAAAAGCTTTTGCATACATATATATACATAATATGTATAATACATGTATTTAGAAAACTTACGAATTTTTGCCTAACTAAAAAATTTATGACATTTTGATTCTACTTGCTTGACTTAGTATAAGTAGAAAGCTCAATTTCTAATTGAAAAAAAATAGATATGCAACAAAGGTTTTTACTGTATAACACAGGGAACTGTAGTCAATATCTTGTAATAACTTATAATGGAAGATAATTTCAAAAATAACATTTGTATAGCTGAATCACACACACACAAAAGAATTCTACTTTCTGAAATTTAGTGATGTTTATCTTTTTGCCAGTTTTTCTAAAATGCCCTATGGAGACCTAATAAAAACGTATGACATTCAAAATTTTAAAAATATTTGTGTAGAATAGATTAATATAAATTAATATCTATTGTATTTAAATCATTAATGGCATCATTCAAGATGCTCCTATTCTTATTTTTTATGCACTTGATAAAATATTCTCAGAGAAATGTTAATGTCTCATGATGATTACATATTTTTTATTTTCCCTTACATTTCATCTGATTTTTGCTTTATGTATCTGTTCTTTGTTGTTAAGGTGTCTAATGGTTTAAGATGTCTATACTCTTTGTACTTTTATCATTAAAAATATTCCTC